CTTATAAAGCTGAAGTTTGAAGTTTCAAGACGCTACGTTATTTAGTATTAGTTTGGCAACCACCAATAGTGAACGCTCTCAGTACATTTGTAAACATGGAGAAAATTGGTCATCGTTATGTGATACAATATTTTCATTTGAAAGGTCTCAGTCCAACCAATATCAAAACTGAGCTAGATTCTACTCTGGGGGAGTCTGCTCCATTGTTTACAACAATAAAATATTGGGTGGCAGAGTTTAAAAGAGGCTATAAGAGCTGCCAAGACGAACATCGCAGTGGTCGACCAAATGAGGTGACCACGTCAGAAATGGTGACGAAAATCCACAAAATGGTATTAGATGACCGTCGACTGAAAGTGCGCGAGTTAGCTGACATGGGAGGCATATCAAAAAGTGTTGTACATCGCATATTGACTGAAAATTTGGACATGAAAAAGCTGTACGCACGATGGATGCCGCGTTTGCTCACAATTGAACAAAAACAGCGTCGTGAGGATGTTTCAATCGAGTGTTTGGCGATGTTTCGCAGTAATAAGGCCGAGTTTTTGCGTCGATTCACACCTGAGACGAAAGAACAGTTGAAACAATGGACTGAAAGGAGAGAATCGGCTCCGAAAAAGGCAAAGACAACTCCATCGGCTGGCAAGGTTATGGCGTCAGTTTTTTGAGATGTGCGTGGGATAATTTTCATTGATTATCTTCAAAAAGGAAAAACAATCAACGGCGAGTATTATGCGAACTTATTGCAGCGTTTGAGTGATGAAATCAAGAAAAAACGTCCGCATTTGGCGAAAAAGAAAGTGTTGTTTCATTATGACAATGCACCGGCTCACACGTCCGTTATTGCGATGGCCAAAATCAATGAGTTAAAGTTCGAATTGCTTTCTCACGCACCCTATTCACATAAAGTACGCGTTGTATCCTATGATACAGCGCTTACTAGACTACGCGTACAAGATTTAGCCCCCTCAGATTATTATCTATTTCCAAACTTGAAAAAATGGC